CCCGGCCCATGGGAATTGGATCAATCCCAGATCCCAGCCCACGGGAATCGGATCAATCCCGGATCCCGGCCCATGGGAATGCTCCCCATCCCGGATCCCGGCCCATGGGAATCGGATCAATCCCAGATCCCGCCCCACGGGAATCGGATCAATCCCGGATCCCGGCCCACGGGAATGCTCCCGATCCCGGATCCCGGCCCACGGGAATCGGATCAATCCTGGATCCCGGTCCATGGGAATTGGATCAATCCCAGATCCCGGCCCACGGGAATCGGATCAATCCCAGATCCCGGCCCACGGGAATCAGATCAATCTCGGATCCCGGCCCATGGGAATGCTCCCGATCCCGGATCCCGGCCCACCCCGGGATCCCAGCACGCACCGAACATCCAGACGTCGCTGGCGGTGGTGAAGCGTCGGAAGTTGATGGATTCCGGCGCCATCCACTTGATGGGAAGGCGGCTGACGGAAGCTGGAAGGATCCGGGAATGCTCCAGATCCCGGGGATCTTCCCCCGGCTGCGTAGGGATCCCCGGGAGCCCCGACCCCACCGGATCCCACCGGATCCCACCGGATCCCACCTTTGTAGTACTCCTCGTCCTCGATGTAGCGGGAGAGGCCGAAGTCTCCCAGCTTGACGCATTCCGGGGAGGCCACCAGGACGTTCCGCACGGCGATGTCCCTGCCGGAATAACGGGAATTATAACGGGAATTCCGGGGATTGGGAGAGCGGGGCGGGGTAGGGGATAGGGGGAGAGGGGATCATGGGATTGGGGGATAACGGGATAATGGGATAATGGGATAACGGTGATGGGATCATGGGATCATGGGATAATGGGATAACGGTGATGGGATAATGGGATAATGGGATAATGGGATAATGGGATAACGGTGATGGGATAATGGGATCATGGGATATTGGATAATAGGATCATGGGATAATGGGATATGGGATAATGGGATATGGGATAATGGGATATGGGATAATGGGATGGGATTGGGATGGGATAATGGGATATAATGGGATGGGATTGGGATGGGATAATGGGATATATGGGATAATGGGATATGGGATAATGGGATAATGGGATAT